CTCTCTCTCTCTCTCTCTCTCTCTCTCTCTCTCTCTCTCTCTCTCTCTCTCTCTCTGATCATCAGTCTCTGATCCCTCAATTCCATCAGTCACTGCAATCATCACGTGCCCGGTCAGCGCGCGCAAACCCAACGCTCGCCCATGTGATCTTCGTACTCCAAAACGTGCTCAGTCCTTAAACGAGGAAAACACAGCTACAACCCACCCCCGGACAACGCAAATGACCCGTAACCGAAACTGCTATTGCGCACGGTCCAATACCCTRTTTCAACAYGGTCCAAMACATTTCAACAYATTCCAACACACTTTCAACAYGTTTCAACACATTTCAACAAGGTTTCAACAACATTTCAACAACTCTTCAACAAGATTTCAACAAGCTAYCAACAATGGATCAACAGTTGGACCAACTGTCTGTCAACAGTTGATCCAACAGTTGAACATACAAGTTTCAGTGTCCCCAATATACGGTCAGTGTTGGTTTCCTTCAGTTTGTGTTGAACACATGCCCCCCCCCTCCGGCCAACGGTTTATAAACAGTTGAAATGTGGTGTCAACATAGGTTCAATGTGGCAAAAAAATTGCCACATTTTTTCTGTTGCTCTTTGGCAACCGGTGGATAACCGACTCTAACACTAGGGTGCCACGATGCACAGACCCCCCTCTGGAAAGGATGGACCAAATACGGTGTGTGTTTTTTTTTTTTTTTTTTTTTTTTTTAAGTCCAGGGTGTTGTAGAGGTCAATCAGTGAGTGCACAGTGATCGCCTGGAACTGTGAGCCGTGGGTGTCCCTTATGAAACCCCATCCCAACCCATCCTCGCGTCAATACTCCTAGCGCACCCTCTATCCCACTATCCTACCTCAGTGTGACCAGCACTCAGGACCATTGCCCTACCCACGAGCAGGCAACTTGGACCGAACAGCACTTATAGGCATCAAGGCTGATGGCCAGCCCTGGTGGAAGCAGGATTAAACGAACCTTGTCGAACGAGAACTTCGGATGCCAGGCCCAAACAATGAACTACAGGCCCCCATATATAGCCACCAGACAGTTCTATTCGAATGTCAGTAGGAACTGCACCCAATGGCACCATATCCAACCAACCCGAACCTACTGCAGGCACTAGACCCCACCGGTGACTAACTCCCCAGTCTGTTTTTTTCGTGTGTATATTTTGTGAATCTGTGTATGGAACATGTGTACATATGGTTGTATGTTGCTCCCCACCATGGAGCATCTACGAAGTGAATAGTAAGTACTGGTGAGAAGTGCTCGTACCACCTCCCCTAGTATGTGTATATATGTGTATACTCTGTGAATCGTGTGTGCATATCAAGGAGAGAACGGGGCAAGTTGGACAAGGACCCCCCGCAAGGACCGAGCCAAGCTCGAACCCGTAACCTTGTAACGTGTAATCGAAGACTCTACCGTATGGACAACTACCAAATATGGATCGAACGTGTGATATGCCAGACTGGGGAGGAAATCAGAACACCCAAGACCAACACCCCAAGCAAACCCTGTAAACCCACAACCAACATACAACACCATGGACTACCCTTGGGTGGTGCGCCGACAGTGTCTATAATAGTACCATGCGTCAGCCCAAGGGGATGTGTGTGCAATCGTGCGTCAAACTAACGCCCTGCCGGTGTCCATGCGCAAGGCTCCGGGGTTTTGAACCCGCAACCTTATACCACAATGCGCATCTCCAACCGGTGCTCTAACCACTGAGCTACATCAACTGTACCAAATACGGTAAATCCAATCCCCCCGCCCATGATCCCAGATGTCCCCCACTCAAATACGGTATCTTAAGAGTGGGGGACATCTGGGATCATGGGCGGGGGGATTGGATTTCTGAACCTAAGCTGAGATCAAAACTGAGATACTGTCACAAGGTAGGGGAGGCCTTAGAGACAATTATCTTTGCGGTCCCCTCATATTGGATTCGCATCCTTAAAAAAGGACCGACAATGGAAGAGGGAGACTGGGTGGGCGTAAAGGATCAGTAGGGGGTAGTAGGGAATATTGTGGGCATATTCCAACCACGAGAGGGAGGAAAAGAAGTGATGGTCAATCTTTTCCACAAGGAATCAGATGATAGGCTTACAAGAACGAAAGGGGACAAAGTGCGATGGTATAAAAAGCCAAAGCTGTTCTGAATCCGAGTTTTAAAAGAAAAAGATGGATGGTTGGCATACAAACCGGCCACACGAATCTCACACCTTGGTTTCGACCCGAAAAATGGATGGTTTGGACCTGGACACTAACCATGGGCAGGGGAAAACAAGGGCAGCAACAACTGCACACACAGTCGGTCAAGTCAACCTATCGATTGTTGTTTCCAAAATGAACCTAAAGGATGTGGTAGAAAATAGATGGATGCGGCATCTGAATATGGGGAAAGAGACTATTCGCTCAGTAAAATGGTGTAGGCTGAGCAAGACTTCCCCAGCAAAAGTGGCATTACTGCAATGACAAATTGAGCACCGTTGCCTGCCTGCGAATGATTGGCTGATTGATAGGACAACCTTGGAACAGCGCGGGCTCGCTCTGCCATGGTGCAAACTTTGTTCATATATCTTCCCGTCACGATGTCAGACAAAAACAATCGAACATATATTCCTTCAATGTTCCGGTTCGGTATGGTTGTGGAGATGGTGGGAGAGGGTATGGAGACAAATAGGCACCCTGGCCGGGATTGGAGAGCATTGCTGTGGGAAACATGGCCCCGGAACAAACTACCCTCTTTGAAGATAACATATTTAAAGTAGGGAGGAGGGCGGTACTCTGGGCGCTATGGAAAAAACGTTGTGTGTATGAGATGGAGGAGGTACGATTGGATGGCCAAATCTTGCAAGAAGAAATCAGGCTGCATGTGCAAGCCGAAATTACTATTCAATGGGAAAAAATGAAGGAAAAACTAACATTCCGCATATTAAAACAGAAAAAAAAAAAGGTCAAAAAAAAAAAAAAGGTCAAATGTCATGGTTAGCATCCACTCGGGAGCGCGCTAGCCGGACCGGTCGGCAAGGCCCGACCGCACTCCGGGTGACTATCTTGAAAACACCGAGGAAGGCGAGGTCCCCGTCGTCGTCGCCACGTTGGTGCATGAGACACCGTGGCAGGC